AAGTCTAGTTCATATGCAAAATATGAGCTAAATCTATTTTCCCTTCCCCCAAACCAGTGGGTGGATTTTACTGAGAGGCCCTCTTAAGTCGCTATTGTACAGAGTTTTAGACTTTTTTGTGTTTTATTAAAAGTCAACAGTTATACATAAGACATACTATACTGCAAATCATTTGAAAATTGTAAAAAATCGGTTTCTAGGAAGAAAATAGTCATCACAATTAACTTCATATTCTGGCTGGCTTTAATATTTTCTCTTCAGATGGCACGTCAGCTTTGAACATGTAACACAGATTTGTTTGATTAACATCACTGATTTGGAAATACGACGAGCATCTGCCATAAATATGCTGACTTTTTGCTATGAGAACATCACGTCTCAACCTATTAATTTCAATCAACTAATTGATTTAAATAAATAAAATTAGCGACATCTACCGCTTTTGTGGGCGATTATCAACAACAATCTTCCTAACTGCTTCGTACTGCTGTTCTTTCTTGGCCAGAGCCCCTCGTCGGGCTCGGTCGAACGCGCGTAAGAAGGGCTCTGGGTACGAGAATGCAAAGGCCCTGGTAAAGGCTGGTCACGTGATGCTTCAAATTTTGAATATTTCAGAATATTTAACTTTTCAAACCGGGGGTGCGGGCCGCTTTGATTTTATCAAACATGGCCGTGCAAAGGGGCGATAGAAGCTTTTGCGACTGAAACCAGAGACCGAAACTATGATGATAAACTTTTCAACTGACAGTGGAAATAAATATATAGTCTGCGATGTTCTTCAAAAAAATATGGAATATAATCAACAGCAATACTTGTGGAAGATCAAGATTCAAAGAGAAGAGTCTAAACATTGACTGACAACAGTAAATATTTCTTTTCAGCTTGGAAGCGTGTTTTATAATATTTGTCGTTTGGGAGTCAATAACATACTGTCACTACTGTCAGTGAAGAATTTGATTTGGGACTTTGATGTACCTTTATGAAAAGATTACTACTGAATACAAATGTGCATGTAAAATGTGATTAGAACGTTTTAATATGAACAGTTGCACTGTCATTGACTCAATATATTTTAATGTGGGACAAACATTAAAAAAACATTAAAGTACTGTGCCAAGTGACAAAATTCCATGCCGACCATGGGTTACGTATGTATGCATTTTTATTAAACGTTTATACCAATATACACTATTTTAAACCTTTGTGTGTGAATTTTGTGTGTTGATTTTATGATATTTGACAACCATGAATATTAATAATATAATATGTTAACAGCAAGTTTACAGTATATCGTATAATACAAAAGCAATATCACTGATATTATCACAAGACTCAAGTACTGTACATGGTCTAATAGATGTTTCTTAGTCAGCAACTATGCTCTTTGACATTGTGGCAATCAGGTATTCTTGGGGCTTTTAGCTTGGTTTTTCACTTTTTTGATGCAACTATAGAATACCCACAACTTTCACACCTTACCGCTATTAATTCCTTGTAAACATTGTCAATTTACTCAAAATTGATCTAATATGATTGCCTCATTCTTCAAAAAACCCCAGTCAAATTTGAACCAAACTAACATACTCATATGATTTAATCTCTAAACTTTACCCTTAAACTATTTTGAAGTGATTCTTGTACTTATTTATGTGTCAATGAATGCGGAAAAATGGCGAGGTATTCTATAAGCATTCCGGCATGTGTGTTTTTGAACCTTCACTGTTGACCAACAGCTGCCAAATGGCAACTACTATGCTCAGAGGTGTAACTTAACACTTGCCCGGGGCAAGTGATTGAAGTGAATATCATGATGGGCAAGTAAAAGTTTCCTCTTGGTTGCCCGAACGGGCAAGTTGCTTTGCCACAAAAAGCTGGCCAGCTTTCAGTTCATATTATTATTGTCGGATAGAATAAAGGCTGTTCGACGACATTGGTTCAAGCTGGCAAATCATCTGCATCAAATTCATCTAAATTGTTTGATTATATTATGCATTGATTCTCTTTTTGGTTATTAAATGTTTATTCATGATATGATAACGAAATATGGCAGGACTTAATTTATGGCAGGACTTAATTTGGGACTTTATTAGTCCTGTTGTCTGTGCCTTCAATTTCTTATTGTAAAACTAATAAAAAATAAATAAAAAATAATGGTGATTAGTGTTACATTAAATTAAATAAGTGTACTTGATTCAAATTTTGTTTAATATGTGAGCCAAAGCTAGATCTGAGGTAGTCTAGATCTGAGGCAGTAACATAGCCAATGCCACTAGTCCAATGTGTGGATATGTTGTCTCTCTAATTTATACTGGCCCGCGTAGGTACCCCATTGCCTGATGGCAAGTGGATTTTATTCAGGGCAACCAATTTTCATGTCCAACTTGCCCTGAGGGCAAGTGGTCAAAAAAGTTAAGTTACACCACTGATGCTGTATACAAATTATATACCTGAAAGGTAACTTACATCATATTGGGTCATTTAAATACTAATACTTGTATTCTCACAGTGTATTAAGATATACAAATGCACTTGTGATTCCCAAAGAATTGCCACAAAAAAAAACATAAACCACATATCAGTCAATTTCAGTAAGTATGGCACACTGGGGCACATTGCAGCTCAATGGGTTAACTAGAGACATTGTCAGATTTTGGTTAATAACCATAATTGCAAGAGGTCAGTACAGTCTGTAACAATAAGTAATTCAGGAATTCACACAATTCTCAATAGTTAAATGATTATCGGATTTCATGTTAAATGATTATCGGATAATGTTGAGCATCAAGAATATATGTATAATGGGTCGTTTCAGAAAACATCGTCAACATCCACACTCCCCCCACGGAGGAAATTTCTGCCGTCCGGAGGGGGAGGGCAGACAAAATTGTTTCTGATAATAGTAAACGTATTAGGACATCCGAAGGGGGTAGGGGGGTTAACTTCCAATTTCCTCCGTGGGGGTGGTATGGATGTTTTCTGAAATGACCCAATATATCCTTCATACATTTATAATAATATTCAGGCTAAATACTGTATCATAGTTTATCAGGTATAAAGATACGAGGTGAAGCCAAGTACCTTTAGGTCTGATAAAGCATACACTGCGAATGTTTTAAATTGCTCAATTGATGGTCCCCAAAACAAATAGTACTTTATTACAAGGCGGCAAAATGTATTTAAATTAAAAGAGATGAATAATCTTGTCACTTGATACATTTGACACCAGGTGTCTTGTATTTGTCCATAAGAGACCCCTTGTTATTGTATCATGTTTTGAGAATGAGTTCAATTTTGATATTTGTTGATCTGAGCAAAATATTGATATTTGATTTGCCTACTGAGGCACACAGTATTGAACAGTCAATTGTGGTGAGTGATGCTGAACTGCCTGTTGTATGTTGTGAGTGATTTTGAGCGCCTGTTGTGATGAGTGACACTGAATTGCCCCAATTGTGGCTCAGGAAAAAATGTACCTGCTGACTTGTCAAATAATCTCCTTAAATAATGTTCTGGGAAGTAATTTGTGTAATTGATTACAAGCAAAAACAAGAGCTTGTTAACAGTATAATGAGGAAATTAATTCCATCTCATTATATTATTCAGCCTTGATAAAGCATATGGAGGCTTTCTGTCTGATTTGACCCTCATGCATGTAATTGTTTGGGAATGCCTGATCATTAAGATCACAACATTTGTTTTGAGGCTTGGCCTTTGAAATCTAAACCCAAAGCACTATATGTATGTTCACAATGTTCTTGGGATAAGAATGAAAATCAAATAAAATATTTCAACTCAATTAAATTCAGGAAATGTTAATTAACCATGGAGGTCAACCAGGTTATACTCAGGGCATATGGCTAACATAAGCATTTAAATTCCAAGTGCATACGATGTTAATATTCCTTGTTTTTCAGACATTCTTTGGGTCTTGTACTCCCTTTAACTGTTAAATATACTGTATGATATTGACATTTGCAAGAAAGATCTATTGTAGCAACAATAACTATTAAATGTTTTGATGATCATGGATATGGTGTATTGAGAGTTCATATTATTAAATTAAAGTGATTTTACATATCTGTTTCACAATCGAGGCAGCAATTTCCTTGCGACAGTAATTCATAGTATAAATACTTCTATCGATCCATTCGTTTTGCACTGTTGCTTTGTCTATTTAATAGATCTCCTTTACAGTTCAACCAAGGTTCTCAGAGCTAATTTGAAGGCAATTTCAAATTTATTCAATATTTTTGGAAGAACTTTAACAGATTTTTTCATTTTAAAATAGATTTTTGTTCTTTATTTGTCGATTTCGGTGTTTATGCAATATTGACGAATATATTGTAGCTAAAGCGATCAGCGATCGCACCCCCCTGTATAGTATTTGCTCCGATATATCACGTGACAAAATAATCCACAATTTGTGGATTATTTCACCAGCCTTTACCAGGGCCTTTGCTGCCCTTCGCATCTTTCTTTAAAAGGCCCTGGGGACGAGGTTGGTACAGCTCATGCAGTTATGTTCTTCTCTTAGTTTTTGTTGCATTGCCCTATAACCTAGTAATTGTCCTGGACCCTCTATCTCTTCACGCAATGCCCTTTCCACGTATTCGAGCGGTGTATCGTACCGAACGTACTTGACATCATAAAACGCTAACCGTCTGCTTAAAACTCCTAAGCTCCAGGCGTACTGCGGAAAATCCCGGCGAACAAAATCCAAAATCTCTCTGCGTGATAGGTTTTGCATAACATTTCGCTCTAGGAAAGACTTTAAATCGTCGTCATTTTCCCAATCGTTATTTCTTATTCCTTCCGCCATCTTTCTTTTTTTGGGTTACCGCTGTCACAATTATCGCGGGCTAAGAGAACAACCGGCCGCTTGCAACATTTCATTTTGTGAAATATTTTCTAATGAGAACGACCGGCCAGGGCACGACGGATTGCTTTCATAGTCAAATCGCAAATCAATTTCAAAGTTCGCCATACAAATGTTTTTCAATTTCGATATTTTTCAATTTAATTTTGATCTGAAGATTTAAATTTATTTTTTGTTTTACGTTCAAAGATTTAAATATTTTAGTAGGTTTATTAATTTATTTTTATATTTATTTTAATGTATTTTTATATTTCTTTGTAAATATATTTTTACTTTCAAAACATTGATTTGTATTTTATTTAGAACGTAAAATTTTAAATATTTTATTAGTTTATTAATTGTTTTTTTATATTTATTTTAATGTATTTTTACATTTCTTTATAAATATATTCAATCTATCATAATTTCGCCTATGAGAACGACCGGCCACCATAAACAACTATATAACTGATTTTAAAAATTTCTCAGTGGATAGCATATCCCAGACCCTATAGATTTGAGCTGTCGGAAGGTTAGACGAAACAATTTAGTGATAATTTGTGGTATTTACATAAACATAAGTACTTGACTAAAGATTCTATCTATCTATAGTATAATGTAACGTTGTATATCCAAAAATCTGTTTCAGAAAACACACAAAATGCAGTCCCGGGGGTGGAAAATGCAGACCCCAACCCCCTAGCATCACGTAATGCAACATGACACCAAACATTTTGTCACCAACAACCATCTGTCATCTTTCCACATAGGCGTACGGGACGGGGGGGGCAGCTGCCCCCCCCCCCCAAGAAGATTACAAAGTCGAAAAGTCGGGCAAATGTTCAGCAAAAGTCGGGGTAAAGTCGGGCAAAAAGTAGTCAAAACTAGAAAATCTCTCTTAATAATAACCCCAGTTTGTTGGGCAAAAAAGCCAGTTAGGCAATATTCGCTTCACAGTCTGGCAATATTTGGTAATTATAAAAATAATTGGGACAAATTCTGTCAATTTTGTGAGAAATTATGTCAATTTTTCGATTTTTGGGAAAATTTGTTTAATGTTCTGAAAAATTTAGGTATGTCCGAAACATTTTTGGACCCCTAAAATGGTACACTGACCGAAATTTTTTCGGCGACGGGGGGGGGGGGTTGGGGGGGGCGCCAAACTTGTCGGGCACAATCCGAAAAAGTCGGGAAAATTTCTTTCTGCCCCCCCCAAATTTTTCCTTCCCATACGCCTATGTCTTTCCACACATATTATGGTCACTTTTTGTAGATGCCCCTCACAGATGACTTATTAAAAAAGGTCCCGACCCAAACTCAATTTAAATAAGTTCGAACATTTTAGAGTTAAACCTGCCAAGATCAATGAATAATCATGATTTACTATCTCGCATGTGCAACAAACGGCATTGTTGCAACTTGCAACAAAAACCGATTTTATTGCATGTTAAAAATGCTCACACATAAGTAACCAAACATGAGACCACATAGTCGGTAAACAATTCTTCCTAACATGAATTGATATCAGTTTTTGTTGGAAATCAGTTCTACTTAATAATGAAAAAGATCACGAATGAAAATTATTTTGCTTTAATTTTATAGGGCATGGAGTTTCTCTAAAGAAGTGAAGAATCTACAATTAAAAGATGATGCTTCAAAAAAGTGAATCAATGCAATTTTATAATGATTTAATACATTTATGTACAACTGAACATTTGTACACGTGGAAGGGCACGTGATAATATAATCGTAAATGCTATGTATATGTGAAATAAAATAATAAAAACATAATTTGCTAATTTAAAACATTTTCTTTCATTTGGCGTAATTCTCTTTCATTTTCTTTCATTTAGGCTTAAATAACTGTAAAAGTTTTGCTTTGTGGAAACGCAATGCACATATATTAGTATATTTCGACGCGGGAACTCCACGGACACTCATATGCGTGCGTCACAATAGAATTTGAGCTTTCACAAAGTACTTTTCAAATGACGTAATTTCACTTCAAGTAACCGCCTCTATATTCTCGCCATAGCCTAGACTTTCATTCGGTTGGCTTTGGCAGGTTTGGTCAATTTTGAGTCAGCATTTTGTGGACATGTGTGATCATGAGCGTGCTTTTGTAATGAGCGTATGCAAAAATGCTTATGAGCATATTACTGGATTTCAGTACATATACATGCCTCTGAGCTATAATATATTTTGTTGGATTAATCTTCGCCCAATATGGCAAATTCTTAAATCGAGATTCAGCAATATTGGGCGATCCGTGCCATTGGTATCGGATGAACTGGGAATTCACGATCGGAAAATATGAATTGTCGATCCGTGAATCTAGTTCTCAAGCTTGTGTGTGGCTAAGGGAGGCCTCAAAAATGTTGTCAATTCGTACGATTGGTAACGGATGGACTGGGAATTCCGATCGAGAATATGATTTGTTGATCCGTCAATCTAGTGCTCAAGCTCTCGAGTGGCTAAGGGAGGCCTGATATATGATAATTGGTTCCAAGAAAATGCATATATGATAATTGGTTCCAAGAAAAGGCTTAGTCAAGTGACTGTCGATCCTGCTATCAGTGTAGGTAACTTAGAAATTAAGAGAGTTGAAATGACAAAATCAGTGGGCCTAATGATAGACGAGTCTTTAGACTGGACCGCGCAGGTCGAACACATTTCAAAAAAGGTCACTTCAGGCCTTGCTATTCTCAGACGACTCCGGGATACGGTCGAATTCAATACCTTAATAACAATATACCAATCTATAATTCAACCTTATTTCGATTATTGTGCTCAAGTGTGGGGTTGCTTAGGGAAAACATTAGCAGCTAAAGTCCAAAAATTACAAAACAGAGCGTTTCGAATAATCACTCGTGAGAATTATACGACACGATCGGCTGATATATTAAACAAGTTAAAAGTTCCGAACCTCGAAAAAAGAAGAATGCAACAACTTTCAATTCTCATGTACAAGGTGAAAAACAAATTGGTCCCCGATTACTTGTGTGATATGTTCACAAATGTTGGCGATGTACACGACCATAACACAAGACAGTCGGGAGCCGATTTGACATTGCCTAAACCAAAAACAAATAGTATGAAAAATGCATTCTCCTACAGAGGTGCGGAAGTCTGGAACTGCCTTCCTGCATCGGTAAAAGCATCAACAACTATTGCTAATTTTAAATCTAACTTGAAGCATGCAAATTAACATCAAGTGATCCTGCCATTGTTTCCATCTACCTAAAATAATTTTCTTGTAATTATTTCTTATTTCTGTTTGTGTGAGCACGGCCGGTTGGAAGATCACCTTTTTTTCTTTTTATATCTTGTACATAATTAATTTTAGTATAGGTGAAATTGTACCGTGTTGAAATATAGTTCATAATAATAATAATAATAATAATCCGTACGATTGGTACCGGATGGACTGGGAATTCACGATCGGAAAATATGAAATGTCGATCCATGAATCTAGTGCTAAAGCTTGTCTGTGGCTAAAGGAGGTCTCAAAAATGTTGTCGATCCGTACGATTGGTAACGAACGGACTGCATGGGAATTCACGATCGGAAAATATGAAATGTCGATCCGTGAATCTAGTGCTCAAGCGCTCGAGTGGCTAAGGGAGGCTTCAAAAATGTTGTCGATCCACACGATTGTTAACGGATTGACTGGGAATTCACGATCGGAAAATATGAAACGTCGATCCGTGAATCTAGTGCTAAAGCTTGTGTGTGGCTAAGGGAGGTCTCAAAAATGTTGTTGATCCGTACGATTGGTAACGGATGGACTGGGAATTCACGATCGGAAAATATGATTTGTCGATCAGTGAATGTAGTGCTCAAGCGCTCGAGTGGCTGAGGAAAGCCTCAAAAATGTTGTCGATCCGTACGATTGGTAACGGATGGACTGGGAATTCACGATCGGAAAATATGAAATGTCGATCCGTGAATCTAGTGCTAAAGCTTGTGTGTGGCTAAGTGAGGTCTCAAAAATGTTGTCGCTCCGTGCATTGGTAACGGATGGACTGGGAATTCACGATCGGAAAATATGAAATGTCGATCTGTGAATCTAGTGCTAAAGCTTGTGGCGCTAAGAGAGGTCTCAAAAATGTTGTCGATCCGTACGATTGGTAACGGATGGACTGGGAATTCACGATCGGAAAATATGAAATGTCGACCGGTGAATCTGGTGCTCAAGCGTTCGAGTGTCTAAAGGAGGCCTCAAAAATGTTGTCGATCCGTACGATTGGTAACGGATGGACTGGGAATTCACGATCGGAAAATATGAAATGCGATCCGTGAATCTAGTGCTCAAGCGCTTGAGTGGCTAAGGGAGGCCTCAAAAATGTTGTCGATCCGTACGATTGGTAACGGATTGACTGGGAATTCACGATCGGAAGATATGAAATGTCGATCTGTGAATCTAGTGCTAAAGCTTGTGTGTGGCTAAGGGAGGTCTCAAAAATGTTGTTGATCCGTACGATTGGTAACGGATGGACTGGGAATTCACGATCGGAAAATATGATTTGTCGATCAGTGAATGTAGTGCTCAAGCGCTCGAGTGGCTGAGGAAAGCCTCAAAAATGTTGTCGATCCGTACGATTGGTAACGGATGGACTGGGAATTCACGATCGGAAAATATGAAATGTCGATCCGTGAATCTAGTGCTAAAGCTTGTGTGTGGCTAAGTGAGGTCTCAAAAATGTTGTCGCTCCGTGCATTGGTAACGGATGGACTGGGAATTCACGATCGGAAAATATGAAATGTCGATCTGTGAATCTAGTGCTAAAGCTTGTGGCGCTAAGAGAGGTCTCAAAAATGTTGTCGATCCGTACGATTGGTAACGGATGGACTGGGAATTCACGATCGGAAAATATGAAATGTCGACCGGTGAATCTGGTGCTCAAGCGTTCGAGTGTCTAAAGGAGGCCTCAAAAATGTTGTCGATCCGTACGATTGGTAACGGATGGACTGGGAATTCACGATCGGAAAATATGAAATGCGATCCGTGAATCTAGTGCTCAAGCGCTTGAGTGGCTAAGGGAGGCCTCAAAAATGTTGTCGATCCGTACGATTGGTAACGGATTGACTGGGAATTCACGATCGGAAAATATGAAATATCGATCCGTGAATCTAGTGCTAAAGCTTGTCTGTGGCTAAGGGATGTCTCAAAAAGGTTGTCGATCCGTACGATTGGTAACGGATTGACTGGGAATTCACGATCGGAAAATATGAAATGTCGATCCTTGAATCTAGTGCTAAAGCTTGTGTGTGGCTAAGGGATGTCTCAAAAATGTTGTCGACCGTACGATTGGTAACGGATGGACTGGGAATTCACGATCGGAAAATATGATTTGTCGGTCCGTGAATCTAGTGCTCAAGCGCTCAAGTGGCTAAGGGAGGCCTCAAAAATGTTGTCAATCCGTACGATTGGTAACGGATGGACTGGGAATTCACGATCGGAAAATATGAATTGTCGATCCGTGAATCTAGTGCTAAAGCTTGTGTGTGACTAAAGGCTCGTTTACACTTGCAAATTTTGCTGCGATTTTAGCTGCGATTTTAGCTGCGATTTTCTTCTTCTGCTTGATGTGAACGAGTAGATAAGTCAATTTAGTCATGAATGTTCACATTGCTGTACATGTACTCCGAACATTCGCGACTCCTCTACTCGTTCACATGCATCAGAAGGAGAAAATCGCATTAGAAATCGCTGCAAAAATTGCAAGTGTAAACAGGCTTTAAGGGAGGTCTAAAAAATGTTGTCGATCCGTACGATTGGTAACGGATTGACTGCGAATTCACGATCGGAAAATATGAAATGTCGATCCGTGAATCTAGTGCTAAAGCTTGTGTGCGGCTAAGGGAGGCCTCAAAAATGTTGTCGATCCGCACCATTTGTAACGGATAGACTGGGAATTCACGATCGGAAAATATGAAATGTCGATCCGTGAATCTAGTGCTAAAGGAATAAACCTTCTAAACTCTGTGCAGAACGAGGGCGGTAAAGACGCTCTTCATTTGAATACGATACTGTTAGTGTTAAAACGGTGTCAAATGTGAGTTGACATGGTCATAGACATAGTCAAAAAACAATAGCAACCGACAATTTCAAAAAATAGAAAACAAAATATAATCAGAATATTAACATCTTGAAACCCAATATATAGGTTAAAACAAACCAAGAACAATTTCGTGATATTTAGATTTTATTGAAAATAATTGTGAGACTAAAACCAAAGTAACAATATTGCAACTTATATCTTGAGAATTTGGTAACGCATGAAATCATCATACGGAAGTATCAATCAAGGAACCATGACAGGTTTATGGCGCAGGAGTGTGGTAGGTCAGTGCAAAATTATGAAAAAAGCTTGAGTTTTTTCCTTGCTTTAATTAAGACGAGAATTTAAAGTAGGTGAATGATATTTAATATGAAGTGCTTCAAGCAACAAGAGGAAATTAGGTAACTTGCGAGAGTTAATTAGGATGGTTTCCAGTGTTGCGTTTTTCCTGCGCACGAACAGGCACGTAAAACTTTAAATCCATTTACTGTAAATGTTACTTATGAAATAACCAAAGAAATAGAGCAACAGAATTTAGTGTTCCCCATGAGAAGTGTATATATAATACGCAGCTTTAAGTAAGTTAATATTCCGTTATATTCCTTGGCTTTTCAGAACGGGAGAATCGTCATATTTATAGTGTTTATGACACGTGCGGCTTTATATAATAAAAGTTAATCTTCGGCTTTACTTAAGGCTTAATTAAAGCCATTTTGATTCATTTTAATAGCAGTTTCCCTGCATGGCTTTTGAGAACGTAAGAATTGTATGTATATATAATACACAGATTTATCTTGCATACCCTTACCAAACTGACATATATGTAAAATGTCTGCAAGTATCTGTCATATATCTGTTGCAGTACTGCAGCATATCTGCAACAAGATCTACAATATCTGCGAAATATCTGCATAAAAGTTGCAGATATTTTCCAGATATGTTGATTATCTGTCAACATATCTGCAAAATATCTGCATAAAAGTTGCAGATATTTTGCAGATATGTTGATTATCTGTCAACATATCTGCAAAATATCTGCATAAAAGTTGCAGATATTTGCAGATATGTCAATTGTCTGTCAAAATATCTGCAAAATATCTGCATAAAAATTGCAGATATATGTAGATATGCCAATTGTGTGTCAATATACAGTATCTCAACTACACAGTAAAAAATAATTTCTTATTGAGAAAACAATTCTTACTGCAAGAAAATATTTGTTGAAGAACATTTTTTGAAATAAGAAAAATTCTCTTAACATATCTTAAATTACATTTGTTTTCTTGAAATATGAATGTTTTCTTACGATTTTGTCATCTTCATATCAAATCATTTTCTTAACAAAATTTTTAAAACAAGAAATCAAATTCTTAACATAAGAAATAATGGTTAATAATAAATTATTTCTTACTTATTTTCTCGAAGAACGAAAATAAATTTGTTAAAATTTAAATATAACATTTTTTGCATTTTTTTTCCAAAATGATATATTTTTCCTCAATATTCTTTTAAAAAAAAAGATGTGAAATGTCATCCTGGATTTAGATTCTATATGGGTTAGTATATTCACTTTAACTGTAATTAGCCTTTTCTCAAAAGAGATCACAGTGCATATTCTGGGGTGATTTGGAGGGACAAAATATATGGAGACGGGCATCAAACATGTGAAAGAGTAGAAGTATCTACTATCAAATATCAACTTTTTACATGACCAAAAATGAAATATCTCCTTTTTACATTAAATTTTAATTTAAACGTGTGCTGCCATATTACTTGTCCCTTCAACAAAGAATTCGTGCGACTAGACCCAGGACTTTGGGAATAGCTAATTAAATATACAAATTCTCTTCTATCATATTTATCTTTGTTAATTAATTTGTTATTAAAGTAAATTTGGGACAAAAATATTGTGTTTTATTTTGTATTAAAATGCTACATTTGCCCCTTTAGGAAAGGAGACCTTGCCCCACCCCCTTTCCATCATCCCTGATACCATATAACTACATTCTAATTTAATTTCTAAA